TCGACATTACCAAACAGAATGAATACACGGTTCAATGTAAACTTATTGAGCAATAAATGTCGCTAACTCTGAGAATCGTCTGCAGTTAACTTTTAACTACATAAGCCAATTTGTTCTCATTTTAACTCCGACCTTATACGTCGTCGCCAGGCCTGCATACGACAATGACCCAAGAAGCTGGAATTAATGTTGCTGCAGGTGCTACCATGCCAGAAATATTTTTCTGGATAGCGATTAGACTAAAAGCAGTTACATTCATAGTGTAAGATGTTTGCAATATGCTTGAGGTTTGGGAGCAAGTTCGTACTGCTGGGAAGCAGGGTTTGTAACAGCAGTAAGGTGTATCACTCAGATGGTCAGCATGCCAGCTATGCTGCCTCTTCACTCTGGAGGACGGTAAAAGGCTCGAAAATGTCAGCTGCGAAAATTGTATGACTTGACTAGCCCTACGGTGGCTCGTAGCTGACCGTGAGTTACGAATGAGGAAACAACACTGAGATCCAGTTCAACCTGACTTACATAACGAACTATGCGTTTGTGCTAAGCCGTTTTGTGAACACACATGACGTTTATTTACGAATAGTTTTCAGATTAATTTTCTTCCTGACGAACGGAAATATTTGCTTCAATGCTGACTCGCATCTACCCGTGACCAAAGATAGAGAGTGTATTAATCAAACGCAATGAAAACTGTGCTTACCAAATAAGTTGCATGGTGATGATAGGGTGGAGAATAAATAACAGTTTCGATTACTTTTCGTGAAATGTCACCTATTTCGATAATGACACCACAGAGAGACACAACTGATTCCAAATTAATTTTCGCAGTGTAATTTATTTAGTATGTTTACTTGTGATTATTGAGCATCTATACATTTGCTTCCTTCAAATAAATTTCTGTTTATTTATTTCCTCATTCGGTAGGGTTAAGGAAGTTTACCTAACTTTTATGCAAGTTTTATAATCATCGTTTGAACATTAAACGCTGCTATGTCTCACTATTTCAACATAGTTTAGTCAGGTTACGCAGAGGAAATGGCAATATGATGGCAATGGTAAACATTAAGTCTATTCTAATTCTTAGCGGTGTTCGGCTACTGGAATACTAAATTTTTTCTATATCAATAGGAAAAATATCTAACAGATAAACATAGTTTATGTTCTATATTTTCATCATATATAAACCCTGTGGTGCAGGAATATTCCCAACAGATATCTGCTACCTTAACGTCATGGTCAGGCTTGCATTGTCTGGATGGCAGTTACACTAGAATCAGTTATCATTACAGTGTCCTTTATTCCATGTTGGGGTCCGTGGGCGAAATAGTACTGCTTGTGAATATGGATGTACCAGCTGTAGGGTGTTTCACTCAGACGACCACCTCTCCGCTCTGGAGAGTAGGGGCTAAGGAAGGTCCATCCCGAAAATCTACATCAGAGCTTAACTTGAGACAGTAAGATCCTGACACGCAAGTAACTCGAAAAGCCAATTCAAACAGGCCGTGTGTGACCTGCCTCAAACAGTTGTCCCCTGGCCTAAGCGGTCACCCAACACTACTCCTCCTTCTGTTTCAAATACTTCAAAGAGTAACCAACTTCCATGGTGTGGGAGGTCGGGAAGTAACAATCACCCACACACTCCTAAATACACACAAAACTCCTCTGGTCATCACCCACTCTAATCTAAGTCACCATCATCTTGCTTTCCTCCTACTGCTGATATTATTCTCCTCTAAATCCCGTCGCTACTAATAGCCACGACACCCGGATAAACACTACTAATAGTCTTCTAAAACTACGCTGTCTACTTCATATTGGAGCATTTAACATCAGGACAATTCGACAAATCGGACGACATGATACACTGGACAGAACTCTGATATCTTGACCCATGGATGTATGTTGTGTTCCGGAGACACGCATCGAAGACTCAAGTGTAATTATTCACTTAACAGCACCTGGTCAACGGGGCGAATCTGCAAAATCCAGCTTACGAATATCAGGAGATTCTTCGGCTAGTTCGCGAGAACTCATTGGTGTAGGCATAGCATTGATTGCTACGGAAGAAAAATCCCTACTCCACTGGATACCAGTAGAAAGTCGTATATGCGCTGTAAGACTGGACGTAACCGTTGGAAGCAAGGACTTCGTCTCCCGTCGACGTCTTTTCCTAATCTCCGCCTACGGCCCAACCGATCGCAGTTCAATAGAAATAAAGAATGAGTTCTACCAAAAGCTGTCTAGTTTACTGCTAAAATCAATATTCAGAGACACAGTCGTTCTAGCAGGTGACTTCAGTGCCCTGATGGGGAATCTGTCAGTCTCATAGGTATGTTGGTGGCATCTACACAGTTCCCTGCTAACAAATCGACAGCTTTAATTTTCATTCTTTTATTACCTGATCAATTATCTAAACTTGACAAACCTCGTGTAAACACACACACATACACAAATAATTATATATAAATGCGATTGTACAGCTATGTGAATGAATTCGCCGAAAAGAGTCTCTTCGCTGAACGTCTTGTCTTTTTCATATGACTAAATGGGGGATTTTCAAGCTGTAATTGTCTTCTACAGTTCTGTTCAGACAACCATCTCATTTCGGTCAGCATTCTCTACAAACACAGAGACATTGTCTAACCTGGTGACCTCCATCATCAAAAATACGATGAATTCAAATAACCCATATAGCGACAAGCTATCGTTGGTGAGATCCGGTAGGAGACTGCAGATTTTTCTGAAACACTTGTGTACATTCCGACCAAGCCCTAGTCCGTGCACGTTTATACTCACAACTGAACGGATGGTGAGGCCGGTAAGCCCCCAACTTGATCAGGACACTAAGACCCTACTCAAGGAACTTATAGCTTAACGCATATTTGAGATTGACACCAAGACTCATTCTGAGGAAGCCTGGAACAATATCCAGTCAGTTATAGATACAGCTGCAAAGGAAGTTAATAACCTAGAACTAAAGGTTAGTAAAAGTCAGTGGATTTCTGTGGCTTCATCCGAAATTATTGAGCAAGAAGACTCATTCCGGTGGGCCCTGAATATGATGAGGAACGAAAGCTGCTCAAACACAAACTGACAAAAAGTTTTCACAACGACCGGTATCAGTGGTCTCGACTAGAGCGAAAGAGAGGGAAAAAGCACTTGCGATAGGTAACGCCAAACAACTACTTAATCTTATCAAGTGTCAAAAGGTAAATGATGAACGACACAATCTCTGAGATACATATAGCTTTAATTAGCCTTTAGGATAAACAACTGGAAAGTTGTAGGGAAGATGCTGTGGAGCAATTTAGCTGGCTAACTACCACGCCCAATATTCCCAGCATCCAACATAAATCTGAAAGTGATGCAAACATCGGTTGTAAAGCTGTGGCTGAAGTTAAAAAGACTGTTTCTAATTTGAAACAGTGACAAAGCCGCAGGACCTGATGGAATTACTCGAGAGGTGTTGAATGACAGTGGAGGCAGTTTTACTATCTGGGTCAACTAAGGTATTAAGCAACCTTCAGTGCATGTATAAGTCACTGATTATACCGCTATACGGGATAGGAGACAAGTCTTCCTGTGATAATCATAAGGGGATCATTTGAGCAATATGGTATCTAAACGTCTGGGCTCAATAATCACATGTAGACTAAGCTGTGGTCGGGAGGAACAAACGCGAGGTAAGCAGACAGTCTTTTGTCGAGTAGTGGTTGTACCGACCACATATCCACCCTTCGACAGATTCTGGAACATAGGAATACTAACCGGCGTCCAACAATCATCATTTTTCTTGACCTGAAAGCTGCATTCGATTGGATCATTCTAGCGTTACTATTACAATGTTTGCCTGCGAATTGTGTGTCAAAGATATACATCTCACTAATCAAGGCACTCTAATCGAACTCATGCAACCCTGTAAGGGCCTATGGAGATTTTTCATCTGAAGATATGAGAAGCAGTGGTGTCCATCAGGGATGCGCACTGTCCCCATTTTCGTTTAATTGCATCAGAGATTCACTAGTCCGGTCGGACTTAGAAATCTCGGGGACTGACTTGTTACCAGTGAATAATCTTTTTAATTTAGAATATGCAGAATCTTCTGGAAACCTTTTTTCGAAATCTTCGAGTTTTCGGCATCTTATACGCGCCCGTAAGATGTAAGATGATGCTTCATGTCTGCACTACGCCGTTTCCTAGCTTAAAGTTAGTGAGTAAAGTGGTAGGGCGTTTTGACTACCTCATGTACATCATCCCCAGGGGATTGGTATCTGACGAAATTTCGCTCGGAAATAGATGGCTCATTCGGCATTTACCATCCGCGTATCGACGAAACGGCATGTGTTCTGCCCAGCAGTTTGCTCTATTCTCCTTCATACCTGTGACACAAGACCATTTAAATTGGAAGATATGAAATGGCTGGCTATCTTTCATCACAGGTGTCTGCGTTCTAACTTACATGTTAGAAGGCAGAGTAGGGTGAGTAATATTGAGGTTAGGCGTAGACTAAGTGAGTGAGGAAAAGCACGCGATGACGTTATGGTACAACATCGATTGTGATGGTTGGGACATGTGTTATGCATGTCCCGGAAAAGAGCTAGTTGTGGTCAAACAAAAGGATGACATCAGCCTATGAAATCTGAAACAGTTAGATTAAGTCCCGTGGGAAGCTATATACATCCTGGGCGGTGTCTTCGGAATGCTAAATACCAATGGCTGGAGACAACTCGTGATACTATCCAAAATCGTACTTAGTGGAATAGATGCACTCACACTTTTGATTCTCCGCAACCATTGAACCCTGATGTTTCACTGTGTTACTATTCATTCTTCCTCACATTTCGTTGAAATCTTTTAATCCTGTTATGTACTCGTCGCCAAATTATTGTTATGTACTGGTCGAGAATTTAATAGTCTTGACGCAAGAAAGACGGAAATCAGAAGACCACTAGGTTTGCGATGATACTTCTATTTTCCAAACACAAGGAGAATCAATACTTCACACAAGATAACGATAACGGAATTGGATCGTTTATGATCGGGGAATAGTCTAGTTCGCATAATGTAGTAGATGAACTGCAACACAATGTATATTTGTAAGCACCACACTTTAGCATTCATCTCACTAAAACCACTAGGAACAGATACATTAGGACTACGCTAGATAGATTGAAGGTTTTTTATTTGCATGAGCGCTTGAACATCCTTATCACGCATTATGTATGAAATAACTAACAACTTAATCAAATTTAGAAGATCAGATTTCATTCAACCTTATATTGTAATATTGTACAAAACATCATTTTCAAAGAAAATAAAGAACAGAACAGTCACGTAATGACTTTCATTTGACAACTTACAATAAACTGCTTCTTTATTGCAAATGTAGAAGGAAAGAATTAAAATATTACTTTGATTTATCACAATAAAACCATATTATTTCATAATAATAAACTTTATGAAAGAAATAATGATCAACAGAATTCATCACCAAGTATTACACAAACACACATCAAGTCTACTGAACATATAAAAACACAGAACTTATTCATCAAGGTCAATAATAACAACAAGTTAAAACAGTTGTGAAAATGGGAGGAAAATAGCCAACACACACACACACACTAATAAGCAAATGCTCAGATTGATAATAAACAGCTGAGATAACAAATGCTACCCCACGATAAAAAAAGAAAGAAAAACCGATCGTTCAAAAAAAAAGATCACAGTAGAACTGTTACATATATTATATAGTCTTCAAGACGTATTACAACGGAGATAAATGATGATTGCTTCAGAAAAAAAACATTAAATCTGTAAGGGTAATAATAATAACACTATTAATATTATTATTACAATATGTTTTATCGAAATTTAGGCAGATATGATTATTCAGTTATTTGCATTCTACAAAGAATGCATATTTGTAAATATTTACCAAAGCCAGGAAAATCCATCACTGTGTTACGGGTTAACAGGACTTTTGCCTAAATGTAATGATGTCAGTTGACTTTTCACCTGATAAATTAAGTAAAACAAAATTATTATTATTATTATTGTTATTCTATTAAACAGATTGTTTAATAAATACAAAGCAAACAAAAGCATCGCTTGAAATCAGTACAATTTTTCATTCGCCAACCTATGAGCAACATGATATTTCACGGCTTACGACATTTACACAGAGTTGGTTTCTTAGACCAAAGTAAGACAAGTGAAATTCGAACTTATGACTCACTAGATAAGAGTCTGTTGTTTAACCTAGTAACCAATTCACGTCCACCGGTGAAATAGAAGTGTTAAATACTTTCGTTTCAAAAAGATCTACAGTGTACAAAAGGTGTGCACTATCTGAGTTTCGATGTAAAACTTACAGCTAACTGTACACTGAGTGAGAACGATAATTTAATAATCATTGAATAGTCATTAAGTGTTTGTCTGATTTCTGCGAATTTTAGATAAAATACAAACACAAGTCGATTCTAACGAGTAAATTACCCGACCTGAGTCATTAAAACTCAAAGAGTCAAGTTTTAAGGACAATCTTCAAACACTTACAATGACAAGTTTTATCTCAAAAAGTTACCTGAGATAAATATGCCTCATGGTTAGACACTAGATTTGTTGGATGGGAAACATAACCTCCAAATGTTTGGTTTGACGAGGGTTGATTTGTGCTCCATGGCTGAGCTTGTGGACCTATACAAGGATTGGGGTTACAGTTGAATGCAGACACTCCAACAAATGACCCGAATTGATTTCCAGGAGCAACATTTTGAGTAGGTTGTTGCGGTGCAGGCGAGTAAAATGAAGAGCTGTTGTCAGGCCATACAGCGAAATTAGACGATGCAGGCTTAAAAAAAAACACGTAACGAAAAAAATCCGTAGACATACACAGGTTTGTTCAAATTTATTTAAAAAACATAAATTAGGATTAATATTTGCTCAGAATAAATAACTTGAAGTATGCTTCTGAAGTTGAGTTGTTAAAAACTCATTCATTTCAAAATCACTTATCTCGGAGCAACCATGTGTCCAGTTGTAACATTGACCTACTTACTTTTAAATGGAATCCACAGTTAGTTACTTCGTTTCCTCCGACAAAAACAGTTGCCATACTGCATACAAATAGTACGTTACAAGCGATTTATTGACCAAGGGTATCTCATTTATGAATGAAATGTATGCCTATCAATGCAATTCATCCAAATTGTATGTTGTCACCTGACAGAGAAGGTGAGTTCTTTGCAGCAGTTCGATTCACTTCGCGTAAAAACTGTAAAATGTCGCTTCTGAAGGGAGGAGATAGGGAGGTAATAGTGGTTTTTTGACTATAGGTTTCCTGTTTCAATTTTTAACAAAGCGGTAGCATCGTCGTTTATGATAAGATCAAGAGTTAAGTGTTCGGTAAGGAGAGGAGGTAAATCATTGGTGTAGAGCTGCATAGAATGAAATAACTAGGATGCAAAGCCATCACCTTCCTACATAAGCACCGCTAACTGACAAAGAATAATCATCAAAAGGGCATCAGTCAATGAAGTATTTGCCTGTTCGCTTCGATCACGTGAGGTGTTAAGAACCGATGGCTGGTGACACAGCCCATAATCATCCTCGATCGCGCAGATACATCCACTCTTTATGAATTCCCAGACCCATCAAATTGTCCGTATTATCCATGTACTTTTTCTTTCTTCTGTACATTTCCGTTCATTATAGTTCCTATGAATTGTTTTTCTCTCTATACATTTATGTGGAGTTAATGAGAGGTGGAAAAATTCTTTTTTGGAAATTCGATCAATCAGGATACATGAAACCTTAATAAATAGAGTAGTTTTTGATCCTGTGACCAAATATATGAAAACTGACTACCAATACGAATATATCTACTACTCCTTCGCTCCCACAGCTATCAAAAACACATATTAACACACCTGTAACATACCCGACCGAAAGCTGCTACCTTGACGTGGTGGTCGGGCTTGAACACCGCAATGACCTAATCAAGCTATACTGGCTGAGACTTATGTCTCTTGAGGTTCTACCATGCCAGGCAGGTTGTTTGGATAGCGGTTAAACAAAAAGCAGCTACCCATCCAATACCATGATTCAAACAAATTCACAAAATTTCATGCCGGATCGGCCGTGGCCCGGATTAACAACGACCGCGCTTCCTGCTGCCGTGTCACAGGGCAGGAGTGATAAGTATGCTACTGATACACACCAAACAAAACGAACAAACAAAAACAGGCCGCGTGTGACCGGCCTCAAGCAGTTGTCCCCTGGGCTCTGCGGTCACGCAACCAACTTCCACGGTGTGGGCAGCCGGGAAGTAACAATCGCCCTCACAATCCGAAATGCACACAAAACCTCTCTAATCCTCACTTATCTTTGTCTTCATCTTCATCTCTATCGTCTTGCCCTCCTTCCACTGATGCAACTCCTCTGCTTAATCCCTCTTCACTCTGTGTCCACTAAAAACGACGGAAGCCAAAAAACCACCACCGATAGTCTCCTAAAGCCACGCCACCAATTTCATATAGGAGCATTTAATGTTAGGACACTTTGCCAAATAGGACAACAAGCATCACTAGCTAAGACCCTGGCATCCGAGCCATTGATGTATGTTGTGTTTCAGAAACACGCATACAAGACCCAAGTGTGGTTATTCACCTAACCCCACCTGGCCAACAGGATGAATCTTCAAAATTCACCTTGAGGGTGTCAGGAGATGCCACAGCTAGTTCACGAGGATTAGCTGGCGTAGGGATAGCTTGAGTACTAGGGCAGAAAAGACATTACTTGACTGGATCCCAGTAGATAGCCGAATGTGTGCTGTCCGTCTGAACGGATCAGTAAGAAGGAGAAAGGACTGCACTACTCGCCGATGCCTTTTCGTAATCTCCGCCTACGCCCCCACTGACTGCAGTTCGGATGAAACGAAGGATGAGTTCTACCAAAAGCTGTCTAGTTTGGTGAGAAAGGCTAAACGCTCAGATATAGTCGTTCTAGCTGGTGACTTTAATGCTCAAGTAGGGAAATTGTGTCAATCTGAGAAGGATGTCGGTGGCACCTATGGAGTTCCGTGCCAGCGAACCGACAACGGTGACCGTCTCCTACAGTTCTGTTCAGATAATCATTTGTTTCTTGTAAGCACTAACTTTAAACACAAGGAGAGACACTGTTTAACCTGGCGACCCCCATCATCAAACCAACGCTGGACACAAATAGACCACATAGCAATAAGCTATCGTTGGCGTGGGTCGGTAGGAGATTGTCGCTCCTTCTGGAACACGTGTGTAGATACCGATCACGCACTGGTCCGGGCTCGTGTGTGCTTACGACTGAACGGACGTAGGAAACAGCTGGCGGTAAAACCATCACGTCCCCAGCTCGATCAGGAAACTAAATCCCTATTTGAGGAAGAACTAGCTAAACGCATATCTGTTCGACAGCTGTGCTCACCCTGGAGAAGCCTGGAAGAATATTCAGTCAGCTATAGATACAGCTGTAAAAGCTGTGAATAAGGAAATCCAAAGGTGAGTAAAAACCACTGGATTTCGACTGCCTCATCCGAACTGATAGATGCTAGAAGACTTATTCCGGCGAGCTCCGAATTCAATGAGGAGCGAAAGCTGCACAAAAGGAAACTTACTAAAAGTCTCCGCAAGGACCGTGAACAGTGGTGGGTGACAAAGGCGAAAGAGATGGAAAAAGCATCGGCGATAGGCAACACTAGGCAACTCTTTAGACTCATCAGAAACGGGTGGGAGAAGGCAATTCATAAGTGAGACTATTTCTGAGAAAAATGGCTCCTTAATTAGCTCTCAGGATAGACGCCTTGAACGCTGGAAAGAACACTTTGAGGAACAATTTAACTTGCCTACAGCCACACTGAACCTCCCCGCCATCCACACACCCGAATGGGATATAGACACTGGTCCGCCGTCTGTAGTGAGGTCACAAAAGCTATCAGTAATTTGAAACGAGGCAAAGCGGCAGGACCCGACGGAATTATTCCGGAGGTGTTTAAATATGGGGGTGACATACTAGTTTGTAGATTAACTGAGGTACTGAGAATCAGAGACAGTGCCATCAGACTGGGGTAAGTCACTTATTATACCGATATTCAAGAAGGGAAACAAGTCCTCGTGTGATAATCATAGGGGGATCAGCCTAACGAACATAGTCTCTAAAATCCTAGGCTCAGTAATCATGCATAGACTAAGCAGAACTCGGGAGGAACAGACAAGGGAAAATCAAGCAGGCTTTAGACCAGGTAGAGGGTGCATAGATCATATCTTCACTCTTCGACAGATTCTAGAACATAGACACACTTTTCGGCGTCCAACAATTGTCATATTTCTTGACTTGAAGGCGGCCTTCGACTCCGTGGATCGAAAGGTACTATGGCAATGTCTGACTGTGAAGGGAGTGCCAAGAAAGTACATTGCACTAATCAAGGCACTCTATTCAAACTCACGTAGTCGTGTAAGGGCTTATGGGGAATTGTCATCTGAATTGGTAACAACCAGTGGTGTCCGACAGGGATGTCCACTTTCCCCATTTCTGTTTAACTTCATCATAGATATGCTAATGGAAGTATCCTTAACTGAACGTAATGACTTAGGAATCGACTTGTTACCAGGGAATAGTCTTATGGACTTAGAATATGCAGATGACATAGTCCTGTTAGGGGAGGATGCTGACAAAATGCAGAGTCTTCTGAACACCTTGAGCAGCAATCTTCGTATGTTTGGCATGCGATTCGCCCCTGCAAAATGTAAGATGCTGCTACAGGACTGGACCACGTCAACCCTAACTTAGTGATAGGGAGTGAAGTGATAGAACATGTTGACCACTTCACCTATTTGGGAAGTTGTATTAGCACCAACGGACTGATTGGCGATGAAATCTCAGCACGGATCCGAAAAGCTCGAGCTGCTTTCGCTGACTTACACCATCTCTGGCGTAGGCGTGACATCCGGTTATCAACCAAGGGACGTGTGTACTGCTCATCAGTTCGCTCCGTCCTTCTCTATGGCTCTGAAACATGGCCAATACGCGTTGAAGACATGAAAAGGTTGACTGCTTTCGATCATAGATGTCTGCGATCTCTGTCTCACGTTAGGTGGTTTAATAAGGTAAGTAATGTTGACGTTAGGCGTAGAGTGTTGGGCAAAGAGGGAAAATCAATCGACGAGGCTATAAAGTTACATAGACTAAGATGGCTAGGTCACGTGCTGCGCATGCCTAACCACCGCCTCCCCCGACGGGCATTACTAGCTGATATAGGTTCAGGTTGGAAAAGAGCCAGTGGTGGCCAAACAAAAACATGGCATCAATCCATGAAATCCTTGACAGTTAAACTGAGTCAGGTAGGGAGATGCAGACTTCCGGGTTGGGGCCCTCGGGACTCTAGGAATCAATGGCTGGAGACAATAGGTGACATGGCTCAAAATCGTTGTCAATGGCGCAGATGTATTCAGTCTCTGTAATCTTTCATATTCCTTTCTACCATTACCCATTCTGTTTCACTCTTATACTTGTCAAACTCTATTGATTCTCTTCACTCATATTCTTGTCTACCTTTGTGTGCTATTTGGAACGTGGCAACTCGAACTGCTGCACTTCGGTGCCAAGTTCTATGTTGAATCCAGACAGACAGAACATACCTTAACATTTAAATTTTTCTTCGCAATTACTGATCTCAAACAGATGCATGAAAATTTGAAGTCACAAACTTCTTAATAAAGACCCAAAAGATAACTGTAAGAGATGATGGGATATTCTAAGAGATGTCACTTAAAATCAATTGAAGGGACAAAGAGAAGTTCGTAACTTATGCTGAATAAC